ACACTAGAACATCCAAGGTCAAAAAGTTGATCACAGAGTTGGGACCGGTTGAACACTCCCACGGCCATGCTTCAGAGCTTCTGGACTTTCTGTGTTAGAGCAAGAAAGAGAGCACGGCATGCCGCATCAGGATGTCTCTTGCGCGGACGCCTTACAAAGGTGACCACAGGCAAGAACCACTGTTGTGCTGCAAAAAGGATGTGCACTCACAACCAATCCACTAGACTTCCGCTATTTCCGTGCTGGCGCCTAAATTGTCCGCGCAGCCCAATCTTAGAAAGGCAACGAGCAAATCGTTTTACAGAGGTTCAAAGCAGCTGCGTGCCTGCTCCAGCGTGCGGACTTTAAGAAGCTGTTCAACAAGGAAAACAGGTTGCTCAGAGGCAACAGTGGATTGGCATCCAAATCTAAGAGAGTTAAATGCCAGGGAAAGCTTCCAAACAAAGCTCGTTCACACACTGCCAATGCTGCCAAATGCTAACAATCACCTTCTCCGCTGCGAGAATGAATGAAGGGAACACTTTGTTACGAATGAGCAACCAATCACAAAGAAACTTTCTGTTTTCAAATCACGCGGAGAGTGCAATTTATAAAACAGCATTGTTGCATTCAGGCTTTCCAAAGCTTTCGTGAACATGTATTCTCTCAGGCGATTTCGTGTGGAATGTTCTTCTACGATTTTATGCAGTCTTTGTGTGTCTTCCATTTTCATGTCTTCAATTCTGTTTTGTTCGCGGTTAAGCCCCCAAAGCGATTTCGTGGGTATTTATTCTTCCTTTTGAACTCTGTTCTTTTTGTATTTTTTCGCTTTGTTTAGGTTTGGAGTTGAAGGTTTTTACGGTCTCTTCCTAAGGCCTCCTTTAAGTCTTTCTTCAAACCAATCCTAGGCCTGCCTTGAAGCTCTTCTGGGTTTAACATGGGTTACCTGCAGCTTAAACTTGGGTGCTTTAAACTTGGGTTCCAAACCTGGGTTAGAACCTGGGTTTCAAACCTGGGTTAAAACCTAGATTAAAACCTGGGTTAAAACCTGGGATAAACCTGGATTTTTAAACCCGGTTCCAAATCTGGGTTAGAACCTAGGTTTCAAACCTGGGTGGTTTTAGAACCTACCTGGGTTAAACCTGGATTCATTATTTTTTTTTTTGGCTTGACTGGGCCTCGTCGACTACGGCTGTAGCACTCGGTCCCGACAAACTAACAAACTACCAACTAGACAAAAGACTCGACAAAACGGTGAAACAGAGGGCGAAGCTCTACAAGGGCTGCGGCGCACAGGCTTTGCCGGTGGTAGCCGTTCAGCAAACTACGGAGCCTCAGCGACCGGTCTGGAGCAACAAAGGGCCGTCGCCCTGAGCCGCCCAAAACAACAGGTGGAGCCAAAACCAAGCTCCGGCAGCCGTTCTAGTCTCGCCAGACAACGGACAGCCCCTGTGTTTTGTTCCGTCACGATCGTGCACACCAAAATCCAAAAGTCCACGGCCATGGCGCAGGTGGCAGATGGAAATGGAGTGCAAGGAGTGCCGCAGGCAAGCAGCCCGCTCCGGCACACCTCCATAACCAAGGGGGAAACCCAAAGGGCCCATGGCGTGACAAACGCGAGACGCGGTCCGTCTGCGACACTGGCAAACGGCGTGGGCCACACGCTCTCGGCAAAAGTGCTGGCATGAACAACAGGGTGCTCGACCACGACACAGAGATGGCAAGTCCACTGCCGCCATAACCACATCAATGTCCCCAGCGTGAGCTGGAAGCCTGGGTCGGCTGCAAGGGCTGGCAGAGATCACCGTGACGGCATTGACTTGCGGGTCTCGCACTTCCACAGCCTGGTGTGACCGCTTGGCGGGCATGGCAAGCTAGAAACGCCTGAAGGCGAAGTCCATGCGAGGAAGTGAAGGGCGAGCAACGTATGTTGCAGGCAACGGCTGAAGCCAGCCATGATGCGAGGCACAGGTGTGCCTACCCAAAACCAGCCAAGAAAGCCAAATCCGATTCCCTCGGCAGCGGGCATGAACAACGCCAGGATGCTCGACCACGACACTGGGATGGCAAATCCGCTGCCGCCAAGACCACATCGATGCCCCCAGCCATGCTGGAACCCTGAGTCGACTGCAAGGGCCGGCAGAGATCACCGTGGCGGGCATTGCCTTGCGGGTCTCACACTTCCACAGTCTCGTGTGACCGTTTGTCGGCCATGGCAAGCTAGAAACGCGCAAGTCCCTCAACGAACGGACAGCAACGACCCAGCTGCAGAAAAAGGATGTAATGACCAGCACCGCAGGCAGCAGTCCACTCCTAATGCGAGACTCAACCCGTTCGCGACACTGCCAAACGGCGTGGATCCCACATTCTCGTAGCCCAACGCTGGGATGGCCCGTGCTCCAACCGCATCCATGCACCTGGAACCCTCTATGATGCATGGCACGAGTGCTGACCCAACACCGGCCATGAGCCAGCGTCGAAGAAAACCCAAGTCCCTTGGTGAAGAGACAGTGACGGCCCGGTTGAGTCTAGCGGGATGTCGCGTCTCACAGTGCAGCCTGTCCGGTCTGACAAAGGCAGCAGAGAGAATGAAGGCTTTCAACAACGTATGTCGTCAGGCAGCGAGATGATTGACATCTCGTCCAAGGGCGAAAGAACGCGCCTTGCGAGGTCGGCAGCCTATCCACCCTGTGCGAATGTCAGGCGTACTGACTGCCAAGCTCGCACTGTCGCTGTGGTGTTGGAACAACAACAGATTCCGCCAGCTCGCCCGTTGAGCCCGAATCCCGCCAGCAGCCATGCACATGTCAGGAAGGGCGGCGACATTACGACATATGGCAAGGGTCCGCCAACAGAAAAACCACGGGTTGGTCCGGTCGCTGCATCGCGCGGCCAACTATCCAACAGTCGTTGCATGTCGCGTCCGCTCGAAGGGAACTGACTCTCCTTGAAGAAATAGAGCATTTGATAATTTCCGTCCCTGTAGATTTTCTTCAATCTGGTTTTTCTGATGGTTGTCATGGTCTTCGCTGTGGAGGTGCGTCCGTGGAGATAGAAGGAAGTTGAGGCCAGGACCTAGTCTCCCTTCCCTAAGAAACTCGTCCGCCGCATGGCCTCCTCAGTGTGAATATGCGCCAGGCGCCACATGCAGGCCCGTCCCGGAGGGTCGCTGCGATTCTTGATGGCTTGGAAATGGCAGTGTCGGTATCGTAGTTTTTTCCGCAGCGACCAGTACTGAGCAAAAGCCCTTGCAGAACGACTGATCCGAGCCTGCAGAAGAACCGTGAGCCACACAATGATCCATCTCGACTGTTCTCTTAACGATCCTTATTTCCAAGCACATCATGGTCTCATCAAGAAGGCTTGCCGAATCCGGCCATGCCCTGGCATGTGAACGGATCGGTGGGTCTTGCCCAGCACGCGAAGATCATCGTGCAAAGTCGTTTCTCCAGGTCTCTTGCGCTGTGCGATCCAGACCGGCAGTCATGGCTGGCATGATCCCCAAAGCTTAGATCAGGCTTGCACCGTGAACTTCTGAGGTTTGAAAGTAGTTGTCAGCAGTTTTCATCTTGTTGACCCTGTTCTTGCCACCATGGACTTGAGCCATGCCCAGGACTGTGGCAGAGGATACGAGAGCATGCTTAGAATTGTTAGCTGCGTGCAAACAGCTTTTCGAGTATGTTCAGGCACGAGAGTTATGAGACGACAGGCATTGTAATTGGGTTTCTGTTGCCCTTTACAGCACCCTCAAGCACAAACATCCAAGTGCAACAGGCTTCACATCCACATCTCAAGCAGTCAAAACTTTTTGAGCCTTGAGCGGCTTAAAACCCTCTTGTCCATCAGTGCTCTTTGCATGCGTGGGGCAGCTTTCTTGGCAGCACATCTTGCAATGTGGGGCTGCTTTGTTCCTGATTCTATCATGTGTCACAACAATCCGCAGCATTTACTCTAAGCCCAAACCGAATCCGCTCTGAACGCCGAATCCTAAAACCCTCAGCCGCAAGCCGAAAACCCCGCATCTGAGACCCTAATCGAATGTGCCCTTTAAACAGCAAGAAAAAGTGTGGAGGCCCTGAACCCTAAAGCCCAAACCCTAAAGCCAAGACTGTGGACATGAGCCTTCCGGAGAGCCGATGACTTCTGCAGCATGCACCCCTGCTTGAAGCTGTGCAAGGCAGCAGAGAGCATCGCTTTACATGCGCCTTTGGAGGGTTTGACAAGGGCTTGATGATTTGGAGTTTTGAGAATTTCACAGTGCTTATTTCAGCGAATACTCTGTCACCGTGCGTTTCCTTGCGTGGCGTTGGTTGTTTTCTGGATGCTTCCTGACCAGCTTCCTGGTTTTAGATTGTTGAGAATCATGAAGCAGCCGAGCAATAATGATGCTTCCGGTGGCATTTGCAGCAGCAGTAAGATGAGTAGACTTTTGTCCAGCTGTTTTGTTGTTCTTGTGCTTTTGCCATCCTATTGCACGTTTCAGATTTGTGCAGGGATCCTCATCATGCTTTCCAAGGCCGGCCCTCGCAGACCACCCCTTGCAAAACGTAGTTATTGATGCTGATGCTGATGCTGCAGAAGGATGTGATGCTGATTTTTCATGCAAAGAAAGTGTCTAAGTCCCTGTGTGCGCACTGTGCCAGTGGTACTCGAAACTTTCATGTTGTTGCTGCCGCAGGCAGCTGTTTTTCTCCTTCGTCCTACGACCGCTGCTCACCATAACTGTAGCAACTGTTGATTGCTTCTTCTGCAGCTGCCACTTCTCGCCCCTCGTTTTGGCGACGCCGAGTTTCACTGTGCCCACTTCTTGGCAGCATTGTTTCGGTCAATCACCCTTACCGTGCCAGGCTTTTTCAAATGATAACGTGGGGCCCCTCATGAATGTACTTGCGCTCGTTTCTTATTAGTAGCTGCGAAATGGCAAGGGGGTTTTGGATAAGATACAGTTGATGGCGACGCTGACGCGGCGACAATGTTTCAATTTTGAGCGTGCTGGTGACAGGCTTGGCCTCCCTCGCCGCATGGCAAGCGGCTCAGCATCAAGTCCGCAGCTTCCTGTCACGCCGTGAGATCTGCTGTGCGCAAGTCATATACTGCTGGGTGTTGAACCTGTCCCATCCGTTGACATGCTTCGGTTTAGATCATGAGTCTTGTGTGGCAGTGAAGGTGACGAGCAAACGTGTCAGCTGAGGTCCAGGAATGGAGCAGCAGCTGGCAGGCAGTTGTGGCCGCGATCCGAGACGTGCTTGCTCGCAAACTTCGGGTGGCTCGGATCAGAGCGGAATCGGCCATCCCCTTGGCCGGAAACCCGAATCCCTAATTCCTGAGACCTTGAGGCTCAAACTCAATCACTGGACCGCTTTGCCCTAATTCGCGACTATCGCTGTAGGTCAGCCTGGAGCAGCGAGCAGATCGGCGCCGTCGTTCCGGACTCAGCTACTTGAGAAAGGAGGAAGCGCGCTTTTTGCCATCGGGAGTGCAACGCTACCTCTAAACCCGAAGCCTCAAACCCTCAAAACCCTAAAATGATGTTCTTGTCACAGGGTGCCTGGTGGTGGCTTTTTTTCAGCGGCCTGAGGCAGTTTGGAATTTTAAGGTTTAGGGTTTAGGAATCAGGGCACCTGAGCGCAGTTATCAGGGCGAGTCCTGCCTGAGACGTACTGCTGATGGACAAAATCCTGCATGACCTTAAGGACCCGAAACTGTGGGAACTATGGTCTAAACCCTATAGATCCCTTAAAGGAGCCCCTTAAGGGTACCCTTATAGATCCCTTTAAAGGGTAATGCAGGATTTTGTCCATCAACAGTAGGGCTCAATGTGCTCGGCAAAGGTGTCGCTGCCCTCTTGGAGCAAGGCGCCGAGTCTGAGGTCCACCACTGCTTAAAGGCTCATGGGACTTAGGAAGTAGGGCTTAGGAGTCCTTTTAAGGGCACTATAGGGTTCTATAATAGGGCTCCTTTAAGGGTTTAGGGTCTGGGGCAGGTTTCTTGATATGGGGATGCTGGGGATGCTAACATCAAGCAACGATGGCACATGGTAGCGAAACTTGATGCTGTCTGTCGCCAGCATGTTGTATGCATCTTAGTGCATTTCAGCTCAAGCCTTCGTGTCCTCGAGCTGTGGCTCTGTCTTCTCCATGCCCTAAACCCTATACCCATAAACCCTATACCCAAAGCCCTAAACCCTATACCCAAGGCCCTAGACCCTAAACCCTAAAGCCCTAAACCCTATGCCCTAAAGCCTAAGCCCTCAACCCTACGCCCTCAACCCTCCAAGGCCATACCCGTGGCTGTTGGAGAGACTGCGCTGGCTGCCGGCGGTATGCGGGCAGAGTCTCGCTCCAGAGCGGCTGGTGCCACTCCCAGAAGTCCTGCAATGTAACTCTAGGGTTGGGGGTTTTGGGGTTTTGGGGTCTGGAGTGTGAGACGCAAAAGAAGGCTGTGTTGTCAGCCACCAGGGTTTATCTTTTGAAGGAACTTTCAGGGTTCCTACAAGGGGTACTTAGAAATAATTTTTAATCTTTGGTTATTATAATCCCTAAGAAACAGCTTAAATTATAATTTTTGCTAGGGTTCTAAGTCCAGTAAAGTTCCTACAAGGGGTCTATAGGGTTTCTACAGGGTTTGAGCGTTTCGCGTGGAGGGTTTGGGCTTTGTCAGGAATCGGACGCTCGGTCGAATCAACCATGCGACACCAGACACTGCAAAGAATTGCAAAACCCCGTAGTTAAAGAATATACCTTAAGTAATATAGGATCCCTTAATGATTTAAGCTAGGTAGATTCCTTAAGTCACATAGGATCCCTTGATTAGATTCCTTAATTGAGGGGTTGTGGAGTCTCTGGGACTGCCCCGCTCTCTGTCCATGGATCTTGACACTCAGGTACCTCATCTCTTGAGCAACGTCCACAGCGAAGAACAGGAGGTTCTCAGCTCAGCTTAGGAAGCGAGTTTTGGGGTAGACGATCCATCATAAAGGACACGAGACAATATTAAACTACTACGTACAATATGCGAAAGATACTATACTCAGAGGATCATGGGACTCAGTAACTAGGTCATAATTGGGGGTATAAGTCCCCTTACTTACTAAGTCCCATGAGTCTTTAAATAATCTGCTATTAATGTGCTAAAGCATACCACAACATGCTACTCTGCGTGGCATGTTATGTTGGTGATTGTCAAAACTAGGGTCCCTTTTTGGGTACCCTAAATAAGAGGCGCCGTATTATATTAAGGACCCAAAAAGGAACCCTAATTTTGACAACCACCCATGTGCATGCAAGACCTGCAGGTAAAGCCGCGTTACGAGATGCTCGAAGGCAGGTTGCTGGGTTCCGTAGACTGCGACTGCGGTTGAGGAATCATACAAGGTTTAAGCTTTTTGGGTTTGGGTTTCGGGGTTTTGGGATTTGGGGATTTGGGGCTTCGGGATTAAAATCTTTTGGGGTTCAAAGTTTCTGGGCTTTGCCATCTTGTGGTCCAGGCTTCTGTCGGCCGTATAGTTAGTTGAGTTTAGGGTTTAGGGTTTAGGGTTTAGGCTTTAGGGTTTAGGGTTTAGGGTTTAGGGTTTAGGGTTTAGGTTAGACTCGGGGTTGTGACGGTTTCATGTCGTACATGTATTCCGGAACCAGTAGGAACCAGTACAGGAATGATGGAGTTCCAGATGTTTGGAGCGCGACTTTCCAAACTACGCAGAAGACCTGTTATTGCTATCACTGTTGTTTCACTTGCTGTTGTCTTTACTGTTGGAGTTATGTTTGGTGTTCTCCTAAACCCAAAACCTTTGCTCGTACCACCTTTTGAAGCTTGGAAAACGACTGAACAGCCGCTGGCCCGAGCCGAGAGTTCTAGGTTTGTAACATGGAGGCCCAGATAACCCAGGCCCCAAACCCTCGAGTTCAGGCTTTAGGGTTGTATCGTCCTTAACATGACGATACCACGGTGCAGGCTCCTTTTTTTTTTTGAAATAGGAGTATAATAGTCATCTTTATGCAGGGGGGCCTTGAGAACGTTTATCAGTCAGTGGTCTTCACTGAGCCCCAGAAAGTAACTTGAGGATTCGAAACCAGGGCTTTAGGACGATCAGCTTCCAGATTGGCTGGTCCCAGGGACTCCAATATCCCTTAATTAAGGAATATTCCTTAAATCATATTACGGATCCTACTATAATTGAAGGTATATTCCTTAATTGAGGGATATTGGAGTCTCTGGGGGTGTGAGTTTCGGATACTTCTTGTGGTCGTACGCTTACCCCTTAACCCTCGGACTTGTCGTACGCTTACCCCTTAACCCTCGGACTCTCTGTCGCGCAGTTGATTTCGGGTCTAGAGATCAGATCTTGGTTTCTACTTCAGGCTTTTAGGGTTTCGGCACGTTGAGTTCATCGCGAGCTCCAGGCACGTCTACATGCTGGAATCACGACTGGCTCCACATGACGCCTGGATCTCGGAACCATGTTGCGTGATGTCGCTACACCTGGAAGCCAAGAGCCATGTTGCGTCGAGGTTCTCAGCTGAAGGTTTTACGCGACTTATCATTTTTAGGTTTTAGGGTTTAGGGTTTTGGGGTTTAGGTTTAGGGTTTGGTTTAGGATTTAGAGTCAGGGTTTAGGGCCCGAGCACCTTCCTAAAAAACACCTCCCAAAGCTGAAACCCTAAAGTCTAAACCCTATGGAAAAAAGCCTGAACCAGGTAAAGGTCAATTCCGACGACTTCCTTCGAAAACAGCTCCCAAAACTGAAACCCTAACCCTATGGAAAAAGGGCCCTAAACCCTAAACCCTAAAAGGCTGAAAAAGGTAAGGGGCAATTCCGAAGATTTCCTTCAAAGAGCCACAAGGCCCGGTGCTGTCGGCTGCGCTCTGTCACACCGTGCTTGGGGCTCAACAAGCGTCGGGTCGCTGTGGTTCAGGGGGTTTGCGGTTGAGGGTTCAGGGTTTAGGGTTTGGGGTTTAGGGTCTAGGGTTTATGGTCCAGCGGCAGGCAAAGATGTTTTGTTTTGGATTTAAAGGTTTTGGGCTTTTCAGAGTCTCTTCTGCGGCAACCTATCGGCTCTGTGCAGGGTGTTCAGCTGTTGTTGCTGCCCCGTTCGGATTCAAGATTTCTGCCCTGGCCACCTGCACCCTGGTCGGAATTACGTGGGAGTTAGGGCCTAAGCGCAAAACTTAGAGCACTCGTGCTTCATGGTTGACAGATCTTGAATTCCCTTAATAAGTTGGGCTTACAAAAGGAGGAGGAGGATCAGCAGGAGGAGGAGAGCCTGTGGTGCTCCAGCTCTTAGGTTTAGGGCTTAGGGCTTGGGGCTTTGGGGTTTTGCGTTTAGGGCTGTGCGGTTCGGTTTCGCGGGAGTGGGATCTGGGCTTGGTCCATTTAGGGCGAGGATGGTGTAGACGACTGTTTACAAATTCCAGCATGAGTTTAGGTCGCAGGAGATTGAACTCAGGGTTCTGGTGTCCTAAAGAGCCCGCTTGTTTTAGATTATACTTTGAGTTTTGGATCAAGGGTTTGGGGTGCAGGGTTCAGAGTTTACGGATTGACAATGGCTGAACCGTAACTCTGATTGAACCTCTGCTATTGCCCAAAACACCGAAAGCCTAAATCCGCACCTGAATCTGCCTAAACGCGCCCGAAAGCATTACAGGGAAATCCTGAACCCTGACTCCTTCAAAGTCTGCGGATTGAATTTATTGCATTGCTACATCGCAGTTATTCTTCAAGAAACCCAGGCCTTCTGCACTGAAGTTTTTGAATCCTAGACCCTGGTATCATTCACAAACATTTTTCAATCACTTTGAAGCCCAACAAAACCTTTCTGGAAACCTTATGACACTTTTACAAACAAGGAATCACAGCTTCAGCAGTTGTGGCACCCGAACACAACCGGTATAGGAAACCTCACAGAGCCTCTAAACACCAAAGCCCTCAGCCCTTTTGGGTAGGAACGCCCTTGCGTCAGGTCCTCTGGGAGTCATTCCCACAGCATGCGGCGGCCTGCGACCAGGCCTTCGACCACAGTTTTTCAACTCTCCACCCTAGACCCTACACGTGTCTCTGGGTTTGTGGCGAAAGGAGTGAAACTTCTGGGATGGACGCCAGGCTATTCGGTCACTACAAGCCATGAAACGGCAACGCTCAGCCTCAACTTCTGACTCCAAACACTATGCCGCAAACCCTAAAGCCCTAACCGCCAAACCCTGGATCGTAAACCCTTTCACAACTGTAGAAACACCATAGTTCTGTACACAATCCTTATCAAACTCCTGTACATTCCTAAACCTGAACCTCACCAACCCCCAGACCAAACCCCAAACCCTAAACCCGAAACCGTAAACCCTAAACCCTAAACCCTAAACCCCTAAACCCCTAAACCCCTAAACCCGAAACCGTAAACTTAGCCTAAGCCCTGAACCGTAAACCCTAAACCCTAAACCCCTAAACCCCTAAACCCCTAAACCCGAAACCGTAAACTTAGCCTAAGCCCTGAACCGTAAACCCTAAACCCTAAACCCCTAAACCCCTAAACCCCTAAACCCGAAACCGTAAACTTAGCCTAAGCCCTGAACCGTAAACCCTAAACCCTAAACCCCTAAACCCCTAAACCCCTAAACCCGAAACCGTAAACTTAGCCTAAGCCCTGAACCCCTTGGCCCCAAAAAAGCCACGGAGTCCCGCCAGGACTGGCTCCTAGTGCTGGAGGATGCCCCGGGTCCCAGAAGCAAATCATTATTGTGACTCCGCATTCTTAGTACTTGTAGTATTATTGCGATTTCTTATTCTTATTCTTGTCATCATTGTGATTTCTTCTTCTTCTTATTGATCTTATTGTCAACTTTTCTTCTCTGTTACGTCGGCTGTTAGTGTCATTGTTATTGTTATCGTTATTGATACTGTTGTTGGTGTTTTTATCATTTATGCAAGTTTAGCGGCATGTTTTCTGTCTTCGGGTTACTGGGATGAGCAGCTCAGAAGCTAGGAGTTGAGGGGTAAAGCGGTGTAGGGGATCTGGTGTCAGGGGTTTCTGGCGTCAGGTTCAGGCGGTTTAGGCTTCAACCCTAAACCCTAAACCCTAATCCTTGAAGGTGTCAGGTTTGGTGAAGTCTTTGTTGGGTTGAGACCTTGGGGTTTAGGTTTCGTGAGTGTACTTTCACTTTGCAGGTTACAGCTGTCCGGTCTAGAGTTTTGCAGGTGTTGGGGTTTTGGGTCAGCGTGAGGTTGGGGGGTTGAGCGAGAGGTTTAGGGATCAGGGCTTCTCTGTCGCGTAGGTCTTTTTCTGTCCTTGCTTTCTTGCTTCCTTCGTTGTTTCTTTCTTGCTCACATTCATGTGCCAGTCTTTATTTCGTTCTTTCTCGCTCCCTCTCTCCCTTTCTCTCTTAATCTGTCTGTCTATACCGATAATCGACGATGTACTTGTCAGGATTTGGCTGAGAAGGCCAAAAGAGCCCAAACCCTGAGCCCCAAGGACTTGCTCTGGGTGGCCTCCGACCTGGAACAGCGCTTGGGAGAGGTGGGCAGGCTTACGGCCAACCAGATGTTTTTTCGATGTAGCTGCGTAGGTGTAAGCTCGAAACCTACACGTAAGCATCACAAAAAAAAGCAAGCTCTAAATGGGAGTTTCTGAAAACAGGGGACCTTAAAATAGTACCCCAAATACTAGGGTCCTTATTATAAGGACCCCCAAATAAGGTACCCCGAATTTTCGTAACCTCCCAACTTTCTGCAACGTAAACCTGAGGGTTGGGTTTCACTGTTTCTTGTGCATTTTCTTGCTTTGCAGAGGCAGTTACTCGTAAGGTAAAAGCCAGAAAGTTGGAATATGATTATCTAACCCTTTTTATGGTAAATTATAAGGTATCCTACCATGAAACCATATTCCAACTTTCTGGAGTTTCCTATACATGCATCTGGAGCCCTGATGTTGTTTCCCAGTTCAGAGTTTGGGATTCCTACCTCCCTAGATCCAAAATCGTGACCGAATTTTAAAAACTAAAACCCTACACCCTAAACCCTGAACCCAAAACCCTAAACCCTATGCCCCAAAAATCCAAACCCTAAGCCCCACCACCCCAGAAATCTAAATCCTGATCCAGCAGCCCTCCTCCTTAATCCTAAGCCTCTGAAGATCCGGGGCCCGAACCCGAACTCCTAAACCATAAACCCTGGATCTTACTTAGAGGATCATGGGACTTAGTAAGTAGGTTATAACTGGGGTTATAAGTCCCCTAAGTGGGGCTATCCTAATTATAACCTACTTATAACCCTACTTACTAAGTCCCATGATCCTTTAAGTAGCGGCAAACCCCAAAAACTTCAACCTTATAAACCCTAAACTTCAAGCTTATAGAGCCCTTATGGGAACTCTTATAGTATCCATTAAGGGTACCCTTCAACGAACTCTTTGGTGGCAAGGGTTTCGGCGCAGCTTTGGCAGGTTCTGCGCCAACTTCCGGAGGCCTGGCACCTTTGCTACCTCGGCTGGTGCGGGCGCCCGATTTTTTTTTTCAAGTGGGGTTTAGGGTTCCTTTAAAGAGGGGGTTCTGTAGGGGTTACCAAGAAGGGTTCCTTTAAAGGGGTTTCGGCTTTTAGCGTTCAGGCTTTAGGGTTTCAGGGCTATGGGGTTTTATATAGGGTCGCTGGTTCAGTGGTTTCGGGGTTTGGTGTTGCAGAATTTGTGGACCGGTTCAAGCTTGGTTAAGCCTAAACCCCATATCCTTATAGAACCCTTAGGGCTCCCTTTAAAGGAACCCTTATAGCCTGGTTCTCTTTTGAAGCCCCTAAAAGCCTAACGGGTAAGGATCCGAGGTTGCTGGGCCTTGAGCTTTGGTTTAGGGTTTAGGGTCTAGGGGTTTAGGGTTTAAGGGTTTAGGGTTTTAGGGTGTAGGGTTTTAGGGTTTAGGGTTTTAGGGTTTAGGGTTCAATGGGTTTAGGGGTTTGTGACTGCGAGTATTGAAACAGTGGCTTCACTGATCGTCTGCCCGTCCATACTTTCGGTTGTGCGGAAGGGAAACGGATTGCGGCATACGTGTGATTGCCAGAAGTGGAACCTCCACAGTGTGGTCACACGGCATTTTGGCCTAAACTTAAACCCTAAACGGTAAAGCCTTAAACTCTAAACCACGTCGAGCGAGGCATGGACAAGGGGTGATTCACCTGGCTCTGGGCGACACAGGACCATTGCCGAAAGGAAACCCGTCCTAAACCCCATACCCTTAACCTGGTACTCTGAACTTTAAACAAACCTTAGGCTCGTAGCCCTGAACCTCAAAAGCAGGAAATAAGCCGTAAACCCCGCACCTCGAGTACACTCAGACTGAACGCTGATCCGTAAAGGAATCCCCCACCTATTCCTTTACAGGCCATCTTGCAGAGAGTCTCAAGGGAGGGCAGGACAAGAGGCTGTCTTCTTTCGGTTTAGGGTTTACGCTTTAGGGTTTGGTTTTAGGGTTTAGGGTTTAGGGTTTAGGGTCATCGAGACTGTTTTTTGGTTCAATTTCGACTTGTAGCTATGTTGCGGTGCCCCCAATTCGACCCTAAATCCTGATTGTTAGGGAGCTACCCTTCAGTTACTTTAGTTACTAGGACCCAGAGTAGGCCCTTATTCCCTTTTTTGAGGGTTCAGGTCCCCTTCAGGTCCCCTTATAAGCCCCTTTAAACCAAAAAGGGCACCCTTTTTATTCCTAGGTTACTCTTGGGTCTAGGTTAAGGCATGGTCTCCTCGAAGTCTTAGGAGGGATTTCTCATACGGGACCCGGAGCTCAAGTATGTTCGAGTCTCTAATACTTGCCCCTGAGACTCTCTCAGAGGCCCTGTGGACCTTTTAGAACACGCTGTTGAAATCCGCCGTTTTTCGAACATCCTGTATATGTCCCTTTCAGAAAGATCCGCTAGTTGAGAACATGCTGCAGAAGTACTGTTGATGATATAAATCCTGCACTACCTTAAGGACCCTTATGTATGGGAACTATGGTACATTCCTTATTATGGGTAATGCAGGATTTATGTCATCAACCGTAGTTGTCTGATAGTTTGACGGATTGGTGGCAGGACCTTTGACCACCGTGGGGCCATTGGAGCCCTGGCAGTGCACCCGGAACTACGGTTGATGATATAAATCCTGCATGACCTTAAGGACCCTAGACTATGGGAATTATGGTATATTCCTTATTATGGGTGATGCAGGATTTATATCATCAACCGTATGGTGTAAGATCCCAACCCTAAGCATTCTAATGCTTAACAAACCTTACCTAGGCCTTAGGCGGATGGAAAAGGTGCTCGACAAAACACCCCCTTCTGCTTAAGGCAGAGTTTGAACAAGAGTTGAGGTTGTTGGAAGTAGAGAGAGAATTGGCTTTACAAAGTGTTAGAAGGGGTTGTGTTTGTTGTGGAGATGCTGTGTTGCAGCTAAATTGTTGATGACCTTGCGGTTTGCACTAGTTTAGTTCCCTGGTTGGGCGGACTGCAGGGATCTAGCACAGGATGTTGTAAGTCACTCTTTCTATCTGGTTGATACGCTTAAGCCGCTAAGCCCCCAAATCCTAAACCCCTCCCTCTCCCCTGCACTCTCACACACCTGAAACTCCTGAACCCGAAAGGTCCCAAGCCCTAAAGGCCGAACTCCAAGACAAAATCCTGTACCTAGAGTAGGCAACCTTTAACCTTTTTTGAGTAGTATAGTCCCTTTTTTTAATCCCTATATAACCAAAAAGGTTAACCTTTAGTTCCCCATGATGCCCGACAAGTAGGTGTAGCAAATGCTTCGCAAAGGTCCGGCGAAGCCCCGCTGGGCACCTTTGCGTACCTCGTATCCCGCGCTGGAGCAAAAGTGCCTGGGGCTCCAGGGGGGAAAAGCCATACATCCTAAACCCGAAGCCCTAAACGCTAAATCAATTTTTTGTTCTAGGTTGTGCTTTGGGATAATTGTTCATTTCCATTATTTCCTTATAAAGGGAACCTATTCATGAACAATTTTCAAAGGGGTTTAAAGCACAACCTACTTGAAGGATCATGGGACTTAGTAAGTAGGGTTATAAGTAGGTTATAATTAGGATAACCCCACTTAGGGGACTTATAAGCCCAGTTATAACCTACTTATTAAGTCCCATGATCCTCTAAGTAACCTAAACTCCCCCTTATAGAACCCTTATAGACTTATAGATCCCTTAAAGGAGCCCTTTAAAGGAACCCTAGGGTTTCTTATTAAGTCCCATGATCCTCTAAGCAGTGTTGGGAGCCGAGATGGGAGGGATTGGCAATGAGCTTCTGAGGCTCTTCGAGGCTGTTTTTCTCGGTTGATCTCTTGGTTTTCTGGGTTTTTTTGTGGCAGTTTAGGGTTTAGGCTTTAGGGGGTTTAGGTGTTAGGGTTTAGGGAGTTTCTGGATGTCGCTCTAAGATTCGAAGATGGAGGTTATTTCGATATGTTTCGATTCAGGTGTTAGGGTTAAGGGTTAGAGCATCTGCGACGGTACTGGTGCGACCGCTACGGTAAGTGTGTAAGCAAGTGTTTATTCGTATACAGGAGAGGTTGTATACATGCCACCGCTTTCCTCGGACACATGTATAGAGGCCTGAGCAATTGGTGTATGATAAGATTCCTTCGGCTTCCTTCCTATCATGATACCACCATATGCCACAACACATCCCACAGCCCCATTCTAATTGATAAGGCTGCTGTGGTACGCCTTTTCTCTCAAGGATCCATTTGTTTGAGATTCACGGGGCATGTAAGGGTTCCTATAAGGTTCCCGGTACGGGCTCCTACAAGGGGGGGGTGTTGTTGAGCGTTCCTTGCTTCAAGAATCCTTCGTTTTCCATCAGCCTAGCAGAAGTGACATAGAGCCTCAGGAGCTTTGCATGGCTATTCCGGCTACTAAGCCTTAGCCCCAAACCGCTTCCTTAGACTGGCTGTTAAACCCAAACCCTAAACCACATCTGGAAATTTGGAAAACTACTCATACCGAGCCCTGAACTGCACTGACCAAGCTGTGCTACAATCTTCCAAGCTATGGATTCCTTTTGAGCATTCGGATTACGAAGCAGGTGGGAAGGGGATTTGAAGAACCCTCTGTTTCCCTAAACTCTGAACCCTAAACCCTGCTTGAAGGCTCATGGGACTTAGTAAGTCAGGTTAGAAGTAGGTTATAATTAGGATAGCCCCACTTAGGGACTTATAACCCCAATTATAACCTACTTACTAAGTCCCATGATCCCTTAAGGGGGTTTCGGTTTCGAGGCTCCTCGAAGCTGGCTCTGCCTTCCCGCTTCGGCGTCAGCTTGATGCGCAGCTGCTGGGCTCAGCTAGGGCTTCCTTAAGGCTTGATTGATTTACGGGTTCCTTGAAGGGTTCCGCTAATGCTTCCTTTAAGGGTTCCGCTAATGCTTCCTTGAAGGGTTCCTTTGGAGTTTTGGGTTTGTTCTATAAGGGTACTATAGCTTTTGCTGGGTTCAGGGATAGTTCTGCAAGAGTTTTCCATAGGGTTGAGCTTTTATAGGTTTCGGGTTTTTCAGGTTTAGATCTAGAATTCAGGCACCGGAAGGGAGCACGACTACTGGTAGTGGCGGTGACTGCAGCGGTGGTTGTGGTAATGTCATCGGCAGACAACGGCAACTGCTAGTCCAGGAATGTTACAACCAGTGCGACGGTACAAATCATGGATGTAGAGATGGATATACGTGAGCAAATCGAAGCCCCCAGCGGAATAGATCGGTGCATAGATCTGTACATGTATATACCCGCCTTTATATTTCTTCGATTGTAAGAAACTACATAACATAATCAACAGCCGTTTTCCTGAAAAAGACTTCGCTGGCCTTTATCTGAAGTTGCTCATCTTGGCCACATCGTTTGTGCAGAGTTGGTGTTCCCTGCTGAGGCTAAGCCAGCTGTGCGCCGACGGAAGCTTACGCCGGTAGCTCGGGCTCGATTCTGGGACCTAAATCCTAAGCCACAAGCCCTCGGATCGGTCAGGGGAATCATTTTACTCTGAGGGGTAGCTGTGCTCTGTTGACAGTTTTTGGGGGTTGCGGTTTTAGGGTGCTTGTCTTTGACACTTGCATGCGCAATCCCGAATCCGGTTCGTGGCGCAAGGCTTTCCTGGAGCAGTCAGTTGGAATTCGGGTTCACACGACCAACATGCGTGCGTAGATGAACAAGAATAAGGTGCTTTAGTGGTAATTGGCCGCCTGATCCGCAGTTCAATTGTGATGAACCTGATTACGAGTATTCGAGCTTCGGGTCATTCTGCTAGATATGAATGTTTTGGCGTTGCTAATCTCACTCCTCTGCTTGTCCGCTTCTCTTGCATGGTTAAGCTCCCATTGCTGCTGCTTCGTTACTCTGTGCTACAGCTATCTTTCAGTCTTGGTCATTGGTGGCGTCGCACATGGGTGGTTGTCAAAATTATGATCCCTTTTTGGGTACCCTAAATATCAGGTGCCGTATTATAATAGGGACCCCCAAAATGGACCCTAATATTGACAACCACCCACATAACCACCAACCCCTAAATTCCAAAACCCTAAACCCTAAACCCCCAAACCCCTTAAAGTAGAAGCCAGAAAGTTGGAATATCATTATCATAGTTGTGTCTTTTGAAATGTAGGAGCCGATGAGCCTAATGGGAAGAAGCAGTTTTCAGCTTCGAGCATGCAATCGAGGTGCCTATCGCTGCTCTGACATGGCCTGTTCCGTGGATGCAGTGAGAACGTCTAGTCCCTAAACCCTAAACCCTAAACCCTAAACCCTAAACCCTAAACCCTAAAACGCATGTTTTCAGGTTTCGAGTTGCAGGGCCTCTGAAAGTAAAAGGGGCCTAGAACGGTTGGAAAAGGATGTGTTTCGTGTTTGAGGCAACCATCCTACTCTGCTTTCTCTTGCCCGATTTCGCACAGCCGTACCAGCTCTTTGTCGGAATCTAGAAATTGTCCTTTCTGATCTTTCGGACGCTTCTTTTGTCGTGGATCTTACATCCTCTGCCGGTGCGTCCCCTGTCGAGTTGCTTCGGACTTCTGGAGTGAGGCACTAGAATTTCTGTGAGGAATTGCTCGAAACTCTCGAAAGACATTCTTTTAAACATGGTTTTTCGGATTCTGGACAGGATTTTTGGCCTCAGGGTGTGAGCAAACCCGAGACTCCGAAATCCAGGGTCCCTTAGTCCAGATTCTCCGGTAGTACCCGTTTGGTCTTGGGTATTTTGGCGTCTCCTTGAAATGTAGGAACAATGGTACCTTTGTTGGGGAGGGGACACTGGACACCCTAGAAGTAAGGATCTGTCCTGGAATATCAGGAACAAGAATCAAGGTCTTGGAAACTCCCGTTGCTGAGATTGTTCAGCGAGATGTAGAAACAGGTTCAGGGGCTCATCTATTCTCGGGACTTGAGTGGTATTGGGCTTGGGGTTTGGGGTTTGTGGTAAAGGGTTCAGGGTTTGCTGTACAGGGTTTAGTTTGGGGCGTAGGGTTTAGGGTTCGGGACTGACAGGGGTCTAGGGGTTTAGGGATTAGGGTTCAGGGGTTTAGGGTTTGTGGCCTGGGGGATTAGGGTAGTTTTCGTTTTGGGGTTTAGGGGTGTATCCTTGGCAGACCCTGCGAGTTCATAGCCCTAAACCTCAGTGGCCCGGTCAATCACTTCCAGATCTGCTTGAATCTACCTCAATTACGGATGACCGAAGGATCATGGGACTCAGTAAGTAGGTCTAAACTGAGGTTATAAGTCCCCTAAGTGGGGTTACCCTAATTACAACCTACTCATAACCTTACTTACTAAGTCCCATGAGCCTTTAAGTAATGAAGGAAATTTCTTCTGTCGGAGATGGGCCCTAAACCCGAAACTCTTGCACCCAAAGCCCTGAACCCTATAGAAATCGTAGTCCGAGGCCCTAACCCGCATTCCGGAATCCAGGGGTGGTGGAGTCGGTGCATACCAAAGCTTTTTGCTTGTAGGGTTTTTATAACTTCCTATCAGAGTTTTTGATCAGAGCCTTCAAAGTTTTCTAAACTCGAATCTCTAAGCACTAAAGCCTAACCCCTAAACTCCCTAAACCCTAACCCCCAGAACTCCCTAATTCCCTAAACCCTCCTAAACTCTCAAGGTCTCTTCTACAGCGCTCCCTGCCAGCTCCTGGACTCCGACGTGCAAGCCGTTTGGTGCCCCGGCCATGCTTTGGGATTTTGGCTGTAGGGCCTGGGGAGTTTGGGTGTAGGGAGGGTTGGGGTTTAGGGTTTAAGTTTAGGGTTTAAGTTTAGGGTTTAAGTTTAGGGTTGAAGTTTAGGGTTTAAGTTTAGGGTTTAAGTTTAGGTTTTAAGTTTAGGGTTTAGGGCCTGAGGATTTAGGGTTTCGGGTCTTAGGGTTGAGGGTTTAGGGCCCAATACCCCTTAACGAAGGAAGGTGCGTGCTATATCATGATGTAAGGTATGTGCCTTTACCAAGCAGTATTGAGCTCTCTGGGCAAAAGTAGAAGTACATTGTTTAGGGGGTTATCTAGCATTCAGGGTGTGTGGGCTTTGAAAAGAAAGTAAGATTACCGCATATTCAGCAGTACTGTTTCTGATAAGGATCCTACCACGAAGGGTCTGTACCAGGGTCTCCGTTCAGTTTCGGGTTTAGGGTTCCGGGCCTATGATCTGGTGATCTGTACTTGGTGGATCATGTGTTTTAGGAAGTAGGTTATAATTGGGGTTATAAGTCCCCTAAGTGGGGCTATCCTAATTATAACCTACTTATAGCCTGATTTCCTAAGTCCCATGAGCCTTTGAGTAGGGGGTTTTCAGGAGCCTATTATAATTTAAAGTATGTCCCTTAATGAAGGAATACCTAGGGTTCCTTTAAAGGGTCCCCAAACCCTAAACAGGGGTTATGTATTGACTTCCTAAGTCCCATGAGCCTTTCAGTATCCCTCGATTCAGTTCTGCATCTTTGAACCTAAGCCCTAGCCCCAGATCTGTCGACCCCGCCAAACGGCAGCGGGTTCCCGACCTCTATAAGTATATATATATATATATATATATATATATCTATATCTATTTATCTCTATAGAAGGGGTCTGTTTAAACAGCTTATGTCCAAGATCTGACTTAAATCCCCATTAAGCCCTACCTTAAATAAATAAGTTCCTGAGTACTTCCCCTTTGCCCTTCATATTTTTGGCTCCCCTTATCAAAACTGAATAGTATAAATATATGATAATGTTTTTCCCCTTATGATGAGTATGCTATAAGATTCCCCCTTCGAACCCTGCCTCTCCGGATTCCAAGCGCTAAACACAAAATTAGTGGAAGCACAAACAAAAAATGGTGGCGCGGTTGGAAAAGAGCCCTCAAAAATAGACAAAAAAACCCCAAAGCCCGAGCTGACTGCCAGGTCGGCTGACCATGCGCCCCAGCTGCGCCCCGTGAAGCTCGGGCTTCGCGCGCGTGTGCAGGCGGGGTTCAGGGTTTCCGGATGAGGATTTTAGGGTTTTGGGGTGTTAGGGTTTAGGGTTGTAGTAGGGGTGTTAGGGTTTAGGGTTTCGGGTTTAGGGTTTTAGGGTTTCAGGGTTTAGCATTTAGGGTTCAGGGCGGGTAGGTTGAAACTATGGGTCAAGTGTGCTCTTCTCCTCCGATCATCAGTCCAGTAGTTGTTGTTTGCTGTTGGGAGGATCCAAAAAGTAGATCCCTTACTGGGGGTTCCTTAAAGTGTAGTATAGGGCCCCAAATTAGGGGATCTACTTTTACGATTGTCCTTCCCCGCTATTGATATTCAGCATAGCCAAGAATGCAAGCTCTCCAATCTCCGTTACCACTATGTACTGCATCCTAGAACAAGCTGCTAGCAGTAGTAGTAGTAGTAGTAGTAGGAGTAGGAGTAGTAGTAGTAGTAGTAGTAGTAGTAGTAGTAGGAGTAGGAGTAGGAGTAGGAGTAGGAGTAGGAGTAGTCGTAGTAGGAGTAGGAGTAGGAGTAGGAGTAGGAGTAGGATCAGCAGGAGTAGGAGCAGGAGCAGGAGCAGGAGCAGGAGCAGGAGCAGGAGCAGGAGCAGGAGCAGGAGCAGGAGCAGGAGCAGGAGTAGGAGTGGGAGTGGTAGTCGTCGTAGTCGTAGTAGTAGTAGTAGTAGTAGTAGTAGTAGTAGTAGTAGTAGTAGTAGTAGTAGCTGCAGGAGTAGTAGTAGTAGTAGTAGTAGTAGCTGCAGGAGTAGTAGTAGTAGTAGTAGTAGTAGTAGCAGTAGTACTAGTAGTGGCAGTAGTAGTAGCAGTAGTAGTAGTAGTAGTAGTAGTAGTGGTAGTAGTAGTAGTAGTAGTAGTAGTAGGAGGAGGAGGAGGAGGAGGAGGAGCGGTGGGAGTAGCAGGAGTGGCAGTACCATCCACGGCATCCACCATAGTGCGCATTATTGTTTATACACAGTTAGCTGTAGTCTATGCCAAGTTCCAGAATACCAGGGTTGAGAACATTTAATAGCAGTCCCTGTCATGTTTATTCATTTGTCCACCTGCGAACAGGCTTTGGATAAGCTGGCCGCCAAGCGCTGAGGTGTTCAATAGCGTTTGTCGGCATTTGGAACCTAGGGATTCGCGAAACCCTAAAACCCTTTACCCAAACTTGAAACTTTAAGCCTGAAACCCTCAACCCACATCACACTTCAAAACTAGCCACTTACTTTTCACGAGTTTAGGGTTTAGGCTTAGGGTTTCGAAACATTTTGAAGGTGTCTGCAGTTTATTGAAGCTCGAGTCTCCAGGTTTCAACAGACGGCAGTCCCGATGCTTGGCCAGTCTACCACTGGTCGTGCTTGAACCCAGAGACTCCAATATCCCTTAATGAAGGAATATACCTTAAATTATAGGAGGATCCCTAATACGATTTAAGGTATATCCCTTAATTAAGGGATATTGCAGTCTTTGGGAATAGGAGTAGTAGCAGAACAGTGCAGTAAGCATGCTAACAATGTAACAGCAGGAACAAATCATGACAAGGACGTCCAGTAATTTCGAAAACTAAAACTTCTAGCTCGTGTTGGTACGACAGGTATCATTACGACGACGGCTGCCACTACCACTACCACGACGATTACCACTACTACGACTTCTGCTACGACGACTATTACGGAATTATTACGGTTACTTCGACAAGTACTAGTAGGAGTGGTGATGCTAGTGCGAGTACTACTAGTACTAGCGCTCATACAGTACCAGTGCAGAAACCCCAAGCCATCAAACCACACGAGGGTTCAAACAAAAACCCCAAAACCTTGAACATCTAAAACGTCACCGTAAAGCCCTCGAAAACTCCACAAAACCTCTGATAGAACCTTTTGTAGAAATTTGTAGAACCCTTTTTAGAACCTTTTCGGAGCCCCTACAGAATGCCCATGGCCTATAGACTTAGCGATCCCCAAGTGGGAATTTCCGAAAATTGGGGGTACCTTATTTCGGTGTCCTCATAATAAGGATCCTACTATTTAGGGTACTGTATTAGGGTCCCCTGTTTTCGGAAACTCCCAAATTCAACCCTCAACCCTAAACCCCTTATAGAACCCTTATAGATCCCTGACAGGAGCCCTTATGGTACCCTTTAAAGGTCCCTTAGTGGACTTCCGAGTCCCGGCTTCATCCTTTCGCTCCACTGCCGCGCTGGGACTGTGCCGCGAGCTGGGAGGCGATCCGAGGACGCCTCTCATTGCCGCTGCTAGTTCTTTTAAAATGTAT